TTACACAAGATGAGATTATAACGAAAAAGAAAGTAAATACATATAAGAATAAAAGTCACCGATACTGCCACAGGTCTCCTATAGTGACACTCGCTTATTTCTCAGAAACTGACCCTTATACCTTATTAATACTAATTAAAACGTCTTGTATTTAGCTAATTAAAGAAATATAAACTCATAATTCATATATTTATTTTATTTATATACCAAATCAGTTAAAAACGAATCCTAAAAACCCGAGAAAAAAATGTTTAAGATATTCTTTTGCAAATTGCGTTATTTAAATAATGATGATGACTGTACTATTGATAATATTACGATATTTTAAATGCTTATAGTTTCACAAGTTTTAGTTTTCTTTATATTAGTTTTCTTTATAGAATAGAATAAAACTTCATCCTGCAGAGTAGTTATATATAAGCATTACAGTCCATTATGTCAACCTTGGAGCCCATTTTAACAGACCGTCATTTTTATTTAACTTACGGAAAACTTAATTACTGTAAAATTGCAAACAGTATTACAAAAATTGCTTGTACTATCTGATAGAAGACACTTTATGTATGTTCGCTTTGTACTGGCACCTTTTAATAAATCAGTTACTTTCCATGGTAATATATTATTATTGGATAAAAAGATTTAAATTTTTTAATATCCTTTTTTGAACATGGCTTGATTTATTTTATCGAGTAACTATTTATTTTTATTAATATTGGAACGAAGATTGGAAATTGCTCATGAATTCGGGAAACTACACAATTTTTCGGTGCTCGACGTGGAGGGAGGGAGAGGGGGGAGAGAGAGAGAGAGAGAGAGAGAGAGAGAGAGAGAGAGAGAGAGAGTATTGTACGTTAAAAAACCAAAGCCAAAATTAACTTTTTATATGGTTATATGATTTGTTATGAACATTTCTAAAAAATATATCTTTTATTTTGATTTGTACTGCAACTATTCAAATCAAAATCTGTAAAGCGTTTTGGTTATCAATATTTAACGATAAAACTATAGCAATTATTAATACGAGATATTGCATATTTGCTACAATAATAACATGACTTAAAAATTGTTATTTTTTAGTTCCAAGTAAAAAATAGGAATATAAAAAAGGAAAGGAAGATATACTTTTGTATGAATAAAATCATACATCTTTTATTTCTATATAATCAACTATTATATCGAAATTGCCTTTCACAAAATTAATATAATAAACTTTTTGCGTCTCATAACATTTACATTCACTTTCTTTGTTTTTGCGTCTTTCATTTTTTCATACAGCACAGAAGAGCTTGCAGTGACATTGCTGCAACATTTAAAATGTTAATGCAATATATTGCTGGAAAGTTGCAATGCTAGAATGATCCGTGTTGTATAAATTGTAAGTTAAATTAATAAAAAATTAAGTTTATTCTATAATTTCGTAAGTGCTATAATCAGGGCTGGGTTAAGGGGGGTGGGGCTAAGGGGACTAAAGCCACGGTCTCCGTCTTTTTAGGGGGCCCCTTAGCTTAAAATTGTATTTATTGATGAAAGTAAATAATCAAATACATATAAATAATTTAAAATATTACAATTAATTTTGCATTCCTCGTACAATAAAACACCGTGTACAAACAATATTCCATAAAAGAAAGTTCAATGAGGAATATAAATTAGCCTGTCCCAGATGTAGAAATTAATGATTTAATCAATAAATATAAACAAAATGATGTCAAGGGCGATTAAAGAGTCAAGAATTTTCGTTAAACAATAAAATATATAATTAGTCATTTTCAATAAAATTAAA